TACTCGCTAAATTATGTAATCGTTAAATGAAGCGATAATTAAATCTCCGTTAAGATCATTGTAAGTGGCCATTGATATTTTAAATGAGTTCGATTAAACTTTTCTAATAGATTACGTCACATTACGGTTTCCCTTTTCACTTTGAAATGGCCGCTGGTTTCATCAAAGTTACTTTTTATCGTGTAATAAGGAGGAAAATTTAGCGATAAAATAAAAGAAATCGGTATTGAAGCCTTATAGTATTCGATTTGAAATACCGATATGATTCTTATGTTGCAGTTCATTATATTTATGATTTTTTTAACTATAATTAATATCTGATTTAATTATAATAAATCATACGAAAAAAAATTAAACATTTGTGAGGTATCTTTTAAATGACAATATTCGTTAATACATTCCTAGGAAACAGTTTGACTGTTTGTATGAAAGTTTATACGCATATACAGTAGGTTTGTAATCCCTCGCGTACACGCACACGGCGGCGACAACTAGTACTTTTTAAATTACTATTGGATAGATCCTGTCACAAATGTCAAGAAAATAGGTATTCCAAAATCTGTACTAGTATGTTAATATAAAATTGATTTAGTTTCAGTACATTGTAACTAATGGATTTATAAAATTGTATCGGATATTATTAACGGAGGATACGCTTTTTACTTAGCTTTTATCTTGTTCATAAAAGTTCGCGGGTAAGCTTTTTTTCAGAGCAATTCTTTAACATCTAATATTTTATTATTATATCATGAGTTCCCTCTAGCGGAATAGTTTGCCTTTTTATTTTATTTCTTATATAAAGAAATCCATCATTAATGTAAATAAATTACATACGAGAAAGTAAATTACCTAGCTTGTAGCCTTAACAAGTTTGTAATAAAAAAGAATTCTTCGTCTAGAAATATAATGTAACTTTGTAATTCTGATATATTTAGTACATTTATAAAGAAACGTATATAAGCTATAACTAAATAATAATAACTTGTGTGCTCACATATTTTTCTTAGCTGTTAAAGCATATAGTTTTATATAAACAAGTGCAGTCCAAAGCGCTTTGTCAACAATTCGTTATTAAATATATCCCGACACAATAACGACGGCTACGTGCGTCCACCATTATACGAATTAGTTTGATGACGCGCAGGAAAATTGGTGAGACTTGTATCGATGGTGCATACCTTATAACCATGAATTTAGGTAAATTATGCATTCTGAGAAATTCGATAGCTGTTTACATTTCCACTATATGTAAGCACCTCGATTGGTTTCAATTATGTTTAGTCATCTAAAGTTATTTATCTGTTGTTCGATTGTTATATTATAAAGAGGCACCTTATATTTCGTAAAAGGGAAACGTTGAGGTGTTCCGACGACAATTATAATATAGTTATGGCCGCAAACTATGTTACAGAAGTGGCTAACAAAGTTTAAGCCTACAGCTGCGGAAACTATGAGTACAAGTTCAGTAGCGCTATCCCATTGAGCGTGGATTACAATGTAATTTGAATGCGACCGACAGCACTATATTGTACACATGTTTAAAATATAGTTTCCTGCATCTGAGCAAATGTCATTGCAGCGAAAATAATCAAATTTTTGAGGCGGTCTATTTGCAAGAGCGACGTTGCTCACACAAATGACTTTTCCCTACGCGCCGCCATAGCGTTACACCACGAATTTTGATTACCCTGTTGCGCTTTCATCTTTTTGAACTTCATAAAGCCATAAACATAACCTATGTCACTAATATTTTTAATAACATTCGTTCTTTAAATAAATAAAGTCAATGTGTTTAAAACACAAGTGTGTGTAGAGTGGAAACCTACCCTACCGATGTCATCATTTCCTTCATCTGCACGTAGTACAGGGAATACTCTACGAAATTTAATAAAATCAAAATTGTCAGCGACATCGTGTTTGCGGTCGTCGCCGGGAGACATGACACAGGATGTCCTATTAATCTATTTATCTCCTAACGTCGTTAAAACCGAAGCATAGTTACGTACCCGCCTGTCTTGTACGTCGCCGTGTGCAAGTTTGGAGTATTCGATGTTCATTCGCTCAAAGAGTAGAAAAATGCCAAGTTTCAAACGTTCAACTACGAGTTAAATGTGTCTAATATAGAGAAAGTCCCATATGCTCAGTGTGCACAGCCCCGCAAGCCGCGAGCCGCATTGCGCTGCGTATCGATTCGAAGCCGCTGCCAGCTGCCGCCGCTGCTGTGTCAAGGGCTAGATTTTGTTTTCATTTCTGAGCTTGTCTGCAATATTAATGACGTATGCATTTTTTTGTATACAAACATTTTCGCTTTTCTTAGCAGATACACTGTTACCATGGTAATTTTGTAATTTTAGTTGTTGGATTCCTAATATACTAATAAATTTAACTAGTAGATGTTGTGTAGTAGTCTAGAATATTGTAGTAATATTAGTAAATAGTGAGACATTATTATGGCAACTAGACAAGGTACTTTCATTATAAACTTTAATAAAAGTAGGTATCGGAAGTTCGAATGTAAATCAGATTTCTTAGGAACTCGGCCCTGCCCGCCTTACCTCGTTAAAACTCTTTAGCTGGACCAACATAGTATACATTAAAGCTTCGGAAATACCTAACTAGAAGCGATTTTGCTGGAAAATTATTTAGAGTTCATAAGCTCTTTGTTATCTCGTGAGATGACGTAGAAAGTAACTCAAGGTTCTCAGATGCACGGCAATTTTAATTATACTTTTAAGCATAGCTTATCAAGTTAATAAAGCGGCCTTTGTATTGAAAACTACTTGTAGGCAAAGAAGTAAAACGACTGTTTCTAAATGTTAACGAAAATATATGCAGTTTTAAAAAATATGTCAATTTAATTTATATAAATAATAATACAAACATATAATAAAAAGAGAAAAAGGCCGAATGCCTGACATAAAGTCGCCATTAAATTAAAAAAAATTGCGATCGTCGGAAGTATTCTTCGTTTGGTTCCATATACGATAAACTCCTAATGTTAATAATCAATTTATTAACATTTATGCCATGACCAGTCTCGAATACAATCTTGAACACAATTAGTGATAAGTATAACAAAAAAAAGATTTAATTGCTGTAAATCTACCAAAACAAAATATGCAGCAAATTAGATTTCTGTGCCTTTTGTATAGGAATAGAATGCATTATTTATAATATTATAACAAATATATCGCACGTTTTGTATACCGGTGAAATACTATTATTTTATGCCGCCATTCTCTGGAGTACTGATACTTCCTCGATCGAGAACAGTTATATGAAAAGTTCCGATTTACTTGCCTCTATTCTGACAGCTTTTACCGCTGTCAGAATAAAAGCTTATTGTGTGAAATATTTTATGTTACCCTTCTCTCACACTCAACCGGAAGTAAGTTGACAGGATTTGTGATGTTTCATATTTTTATAGTCACAATATTACTTGAAATGTATAACTACATTTTTTTCGTTAAATGTGTTGGAATAAAGAATTCATTACTTACTAAGATATTATTTAGAGTTATAGAGAGTAATAATCAGGTCTAATAGTTATCATTGTAGTAATCAAAATTGATAAGTAGAGCTTGTCATAATCTGTTATTTAAGATGATGAGGGATGACAGTTAGGGGAAGGGGGATGGGGGTAAGGAAATAAAGAGGCGCTCCATTGTGAGGGCGTAACCTTGTGCAAAGTTTCCACCGTAAATGAAAACAATGAGGAGTACGTTAGATTAAACAAGCGTTACATTAATTTTGAATTTATACAAACTTAGACAAAACAATTATAAATTATGTTAAAATCACTCAGAAGGTCACAAGAAGCCTATTTTACATATACATAAAACATGACACACCATACATGTGGGAACACTGCTTTGTTAATATTATAAAAGTTGCTATCAAACTCTTACCACTAAATTTCATGATCAATAGTTTTTGCATAATAATGTTTACAATTTATTTTAATAACAATAAAACGAAACTATTCTAAATAAATAGAATCCCAAAACAGAGGTTCAATCGTGGCAAAAATTTCAGTTATAACGCTGATTGTTTGTTTTGCCTAGGACCAAATTGACTGAGGGACATCCAAACGGTATACAGCTCGATGCCAATTTACATAGTCCTACCCCAAGGCCAATGCTATGAGATCAACAGTATTAATCGATCGTTCCTATCTCACATAAAAAAATAATTAGACCCTGTTTCCCCTAAGCGAATAGCTCCGATTCTGCTTTTGCTGTTCTAGAGAAACTTGTGTATAATTTTAGCGCGACTGCTCATTGAAATAGCAATCGTGCGGCTGCTAGCTTAGAGGATAATTGGTCTACTCGTATTTACACAATTTAGTTCTGTCTGGTTGTTATTGTGGACTTATTAAAAGTGAAGCATGAGTTATTTATAAAATCTTATTGTACCACAATTCAAGGGTAGGGTAAAAACATATAAAATATTATAGAACAAAACGTTTTATGAGTCGACGTTTTAAATTTATAAATTAAAAGTTTCCCTCACTCTGAAAGACAGGAACTCGCTAAATTTTATAGTACCAATGCCTACTAAGGCGAATAATTTAGTTAGGGGCCAAGTTCTGTGACGTCGCGTCCTGCAACTTTTGGATTTATTAAGGTGTCGTCATATTCCCGCGCAAACTTTTAAATCGAGTTTTCGACTGTTTGTCTCATTTTCAGTTGTACCTGTCTTCTGCGCGGATAAATACTTTCTGTACTTGAACTTATTAAGTCTCGAATATTTAAGCAAAAATTGATTTGAGTGTTTAGCGAATTTTAATAAGTTTTTTTTAATGATAATAATGATTAAATTGACGCTAGATTGTAGATAAGTAGAGGTGGTTAAATCTGACTATTGCTATATTATTTTAGTGTTTATTTATTTCTTTTTGGGGTGTAATTTTTATTTAAGAGGAGAGCTATTTTTACTTATATTGTAGCCCCTAAATTGAAAGAGTTTGTTTTAAATAAACACATTTTCTTTTGTTCCAGGTACTTTCGTCGTGTTGGTGTTTCCTTAACTCTTTAGTGTTTTAAATACTTTGTGTCCTTCTCTGTGTATATATCAAATTCCCATTAAACAATTATAAACTTTGGTCCTGTGTGACATATTCTTGTGACTATCTTCTCTCAAATAAGTGTAGTTGTTAGGAATAGATAATTAGTAGCGTGTACAATGTGCTTCTTAGTAGTTTTAAATTAAGTGTAAGTTTTAAAAACTTTAGTGATCAGAACACTTGGTAGGTTTTAAGAGTTTGTGCGCGTAGTGCGATATGGACGCAAACTTCTCGCTCACGACTAGTGTAAGTGCATAGACAATCAGTATGTCGCATCCGATGAAGCGCTCGTTCAGTTCCGAGGGCGGGGCGACATCCAGGAGGGATTGGAAGATGCGGCTCAGCCTCCGCAGCCGCAGCGGACGTAGTGCTGTAAGTATCAATCATTTCATATCTCCCAGTTCTTGTACAACTCGCACTTTTTCATCACTTATAATGAATGAACGAACGAATTAATTATCAGTGTTGCTGGCGAAACATAAGTACCGCAATGACGACATACTTCGGTGTGCCACCACTCTGCCTCTCATACAAATCTGTAATCATCGCCTCGTTTCTGCCTTAGCCGCGTGATCGCCTATTAATTATTTATAAAATAACTTGTCTTCCGTACAGCTTTCCTTGTTCTTTAAGAAATTAAAACCTTTTCCAAACATATTATAAAATCACAGCTCAAATCGAGCATTCTATCATTGGGTACACAGCCATGTAATGATCATATCCCCATATTATTCCGAGCATCTGTGTGTGTGTGTGTGTGTGATCAGTGCACACGGTTTTATATAATATAATGTTTTGTATTTAGCAGATCAGTCAAATATTCATTTTGTAAATTAATCAAAATAAATATATATTTGTAAAGTAACAAAATTATAGCTAAATACTCCAAAATTACTTCTAAAAAGAAGTATACAAAACCATAACAAGCGAAAAATATTTTTCTTTACTTTGCTAAAAACTTAGGAAACTCCTTACGAGTCATTTCCTCATGAAATAGCAGTGTGCCAACGACCACGTAAAATTGCAGTAAAACGTTTTATTAGTGTGTAGAGAGACACCGGGACACAGACGCAGAGCCCTACAGTGAAATAAAACTTAAACCAAGCTCTCAACTAAAAAAAGTAGGAAGACAATGGATTGCCAGATGTTACATTAGCTAAGTAACATTTGAATCGAGAAAAAGGTGACAAGTTAAAATAAATGGTGTAAAAGTTCGCGTTTCTTAAATTGAAAACTAAATAAAATTGCTCTCGAAATTGCTAATTAAATAGTTCAATTAAATTTAATGAATGTTTAAATACCATTAAGAAATGTAAGGATCAGTTAGGTTAACAACAAATAAAATGTGAAAAATATATTTGATACATATATTGTATTGATAGGTTAGATATTATCGGCATTTACACGTAAACTCTGAGGCGGTAAGGAGCTGAATCAGATAATTGTGTGAACAGGTCGCGCCGTAGGGATTTAGAGAACTACAACTAGTTTCTGTCGCGCTCTAATTAGCTGGCCAGCATTGTTACAGTGTTCATATCTCTTTCTCGTCTTGTTTTTGTATTTAACACGTGAAAGTAACGTGTTCATGGAATGAAAATTCATCGCGTTTAAATAGAAAAAGTAATGGGACCTTAGGGGCTGATAAACCGATCCTTGTACTGTGCTGATGAGACTTTATTCGGCCAATTTCAGTCGCGTCGCACAAAACACCCGCTAAGAATCAAATATTCTCGCTTAATTTGCTTTCAAAAAGTTGAGCTAAAATTGTGTTGCTTCTATTTTGTCTTTATTAAAACGGTGGGATTTAAAGACGAAATTTGTGTGGCAAAAAGATCGTCTTTCTAAATTAATTTAAACTGATATGTTTCTATCGGCATCATTAAGGAATATGCGTGTCTGAAAATTTACATGTCCTTTAATTTTATTGAATTTATCTTAAGATACATAAAATCTTTAGTAGTTTTAAAATCGTACGTCCGTATTATATAGATGTTAATTTTATTATCAAAATAATTTTAAAATATTTGGAATTTTTCAATAGTACAATAGTAAACATATCTGAATTTAATTCGTTAACTCGTAAAGGTCAACTGCCACCATAACGTTAATCGCGTTTGATTGCTGTTGTATTGTTTGATTAATGGGCGATCTGTAGCTGAGCGCGCCACGGCTCTGGCGTTTCATGACATATTGCTCTCGGCCATACATCATACATTCATACAAATTAACTTTAAACACATAAAAGTTAGTCTTTATAAATAATATCATTTTTTTACTACTTTACTTTATTTGTTTGTCAAAACGTCGGAATCTTTTAATTAGATCTTTGATTAAGTAAAATCCCAACCTTATTGACAAAACAAATGAAATCGACGGACTTATTTATCGGCGCACTGCCTTGTTGTCTTGAAATATTTATTTGTACGAAGATTTCTGTTAATTAAGGCACTAACTTAATTAAACAAAAAAACAAAGTATTTCTCTAAAATCTTCTAACCGTCTTCAGTAGATAATGTTTTTCATTGTCAGAATTTCTTGCAAATTGATTAAACAGTTGAAGTTACAAACAATAACATTCACTCTACGCAAAGGAAATGTTAGTTTTCTTCAATTCAGAGATACTAATCTCGACACTTTTATTTTTATTTAATATAATAAATTTGTATCAACAAAATCTTCTCCTTAGAAACCACAAGACCAGGTGCGATTTACTCATAAATTGCAAAACATTTTTTTTCCATCAAGTTAAATATTTAAATGATTGCGAATAAGTAATGTGACATACAAGATCACGGATCTATTTTGATTTTAAAATGATCCGACTCGTGCCTACTCGTGCTCTTCTTACGCACTTCTTATAAAACATGACGTCCAAAATATATTATACCAACCATTTTTTATCTTATTTTGTCGGTAGCTATAAATTTTCCACTAAGTTTTCCCCTTACATGCTTTTTGTGCATTTACAAGAATTTACAAAATAAGTATTTCATGTTTTTTAGTATCCGTTTAAAATTATATTTTTTAAATATTTGACAAGGTGGCAAGCGCGCACCTAAATTCGTCGAGATGGCGATGCGACTACTGCCAATAGACTTTCGTAATTGCAGATGCGTTGCCAACCTTTAAGCCACAGTATTGGAGAAAGTTAGAAAGTTTTGAAAGGGAAAATAATTATTAATTTTCTAAACGTAAAGTGTAAACATATTATTACGAAGCAGGAACAACTTGGAAAATATGTTGGTGGCACATAATTAACGGATAAATGTACTCTAGTTCCCAAAATATACAATCGACCAAGTTCAAAAAGCAACTCGACTCACAGGGAACGTTCACAGAGTCGTTGTATAGGTTAATTTACGAGCCAATCATGCGATTTAGTGTTGCCGCCGTTGCAGAATCTATTCACACTCAATTTTGCTCTTTATTGCTCATAAAACAACATTCAAGTTTCAAGTAAAGACGCCTGTGAGTAAGCACAGGCAGACTGTTCAGCCAATTTATATGACTTACCTTGATTTTCAGCTGTATTGTAAATTATATTGGCAACATGGATTTCAACTAACATACAAAATAGATTTGGATGATGAATACAATCCGTTGGTTTCATGGTTTTCATAGAACGTAGAAGCTATCTGTAAAATTAGCTGAAAACCCTGACCGGGAAAAGACAAATAAAAAAGAACTCGACAAGAATATTTATGTGCATTCGTTATTATAACATCATTGTAATAATATGAAAAAGGTGTCCTTCTATGATAATGCGTTTGTCTGCGCACTATTGTTGAATTTTAATGTTCTAATTTCAATGATGAATGTCAGATCAAGGTGGCAAATGTATTCGTGGTTGAACTTTGTTATTCAATTGACTGCCCCTAAGGATGAGTGCACAATAACATTTCATATTGCAAGTTGAGACATTTTTTAAGTAATGAATTCCATTATATAATAGATACTAAGTGTCATCGATAATTAAACTAGCGACGTGCCGCGACTGCACGGCTAGCAACACTTACAATCAATGTTGTATGCATTGTTACATCTAGAAATTTTAAATAATTTAATTTGTTATAACCAATCAGGATAAAAACTAAACGAAGTATATGAAAGTTGTTTAAGTTCAAAATAAATAATGTTATATTAAATTTAAGACTTCATAGAAAATGAATAAAAATTAAATTTACCTTATTTCATATTCATATTAAAATGCATAAAACTAGATTTTCTAACATTCCGTTATTTTATTCCCTTCAAAGCCGTTTTCCTACTAAGATATAGCAGGAGCCATATACCTCGCAACCTTTCAGCCGCCATTTTCTTTATAAATATATAAAGTTAAATCTCTGTTAATGCTAGTAACGTCTACACATGTAGCTGATTGTTTATGAACTAAATACTATAGTGTTTTCAATTTGACTAGTACAATCAGATACAAAATGTTTAAACCTAACACAATGAAGAAAGTCATTCATTCATTCATTCATTCGTTCTATATTCAAAAATGCGCTATTTACTTTTCTCCTCGCGTAAGGTAATGTATCCACCGTCCGTCCGCCTAACACAGTTGTTACGCGAAACGAACACAATGTTTACATCTCAATTTGATGGTTGGCGCTTTTCCAAAAAGAAACTTTTACCAACAATAATAAACATAATTGATATATATTCATTGGTCTATCACTTATTCAATTAATATTTTTTTGGGAACGTACAATAAAATATATCTCTTACTTAATGGATACAGGATGCAATCTTTTGATCTAAATAAATTCTAGAATAAAACTGTAATTATTAATAATATTGCCTCACTATCTAAAAGATATAAGCAAAATGTCGCTGAACTAATAATATTAGGAGCAATAAATGAAGATCTAAAATTAAGCTTAATACTTATGTATACATTCGTTGACGTGTAAACCTAACTTAACCTAACCGTCGATGTTCACTGCTGAACACTACAACATTACAGGAGTTTCGGCAGATGAAACTGATTGTAAAAGTAAGTGTTCGTTGCTACATTGTTTCTGTCTTTAAACAAATGTATGAACATATACATAAATTGTTTGCGTTTGTGGAAGTATGCTTATCTTATCTAGCATTATCTTGTTTTATTTGAAAGTAATTAAGTTACGCAAATTTAATACAGAGCTATGTATATCTGTAGGAGTTATAACACTAGATTTATTTTTAAATTATAATATCTAAAATTAATGTAATGCTTAAGTTTTTAGCCTAATTTGGAATAAATAGAGGTTGACTACAAAAACATTATCAAATTATAAAACTTTCGGTTAAACATATTTAATATTGGCACAAATATAGAACATAGTCTCAAATAACACATCGTACAACTATTTTTTTTTTATTTCGCACGGACGATGTCGCGGGTAAACGCTAGTAATTATAGTAAATTAATAATAAAGTCAAATCCTTGTGTTCCATAAACAACCTTTTGCTAAATTGATATGAGTTTTGATTTGGAAGAGGACAATTGCAGAATACTTGGCTCTTGCTTTTCATGATAATTACATGCATTAACTTTATCTCGGTTGTAATGGACACAGTTTGTTTATAAATACATACATACGTGAACTTTTATTATTATGTCACCTAATTGAAATGAGGATAGTATTTAATTTTATTTACAACGTCAGTACAGGTTGGTGGAATTCACACATGTATTTGATGATTGATTCGACATATGCTGATTGCATCACGATGTTTTTCCAAACCCTAAAAACATCGAACAAATGTATATATGAAATTCAAAAACCGAAAATCACATTGATTCATGGCGGGGATTGAACCCGGACTCTGATTTTGAGATTTTGGTCCGGTCCAGTGAAGTGATTAACAACTGCGCCACTGATACTCTCATCTTACTTTGGTATACTTAGATACAATAACTTATGTACATACATTTAACTATATATATAGTTAGTAGCCTAAGTAAAGCCTTGCCTAGATCTCATATAGCTTTTTATTAAGTACTTTTTTAATAATGTAAAAATAATGGCATTAAAATCATAAAAACTTTTGAATCAACATGTTCTATGCAGCCTTTATACATTCTAAACCATATTTTATGTACTGATTTTAAACATAGACAGCGCGTTGTCTCTGAGGAAAACGTCTTAATTTACCCGACATTGATGGATCAAGTTATCTGTCGCACGTCCTCAGTCAGCCGTACTCAACTCTATAGCTGCCGAATACAAAAGATTTGTAGTTTTCCATGTTTGTTACTCAATAAAAACCTACATTATACATGCGAGCTTAAAAATTTGCATTATTCGTAATTATTTTTACATTATTTAGAAGAAACTCAATAAAAAATACTACTCAAAGTCATTACAGTGTTAAATAACTCATTACATAATCTACATTTAAGAAATATAGACAAAAAATCGTCATTTTTAAAAACATTTTATAAATATTTCGCTCAAACTGGAAACTGAATCCTGCGAAATGAATTTGGTAAGTCACGTGTCACGAGGTCTTTATTTGAATGTCAAATGTTGATGTGGCATTGAAGCTTCGAATTATTATTGAATTTTCTTAGTACCTCTAAAAGATTTTGTCGTATTCTTGTAGAAAAATTGTCAGCGAACCGAAAATAAACATACTTGCTTAATGATAACGAAACTCGCATTTCTTGAAGAAAGCTTTTAACTAAATTAAACTTGAATAGATTTAGACAAAACGAATTAGGGTCTCGGTCACCCAACATTTCGTTGAAGCAAGTCTCATTTACATTATATTTACTTGTATATATGCTGTTTATGTGCTTGTTTATATGCCGAGAATAACTCATATTGATTATTAGCACGCAACATTATTTTAATCACTTTTAGGAAATTTACCGGCCAAATATGAAATGCGTGTAAATAAAATTGTTTGGAGAACATTCATAATCTGCCCCTTTCTGAGTTGTACTGTGTGCCAGATAGCATTTAATATTGTTTTAAGAGATATAGAATTATTCAGCAATAAAACAAAACGAGATGCAAACACAGAACAAACAAATATAGAGCGCGTCATGACAAACACTAAAATACATATTTGCTGTATGAAGCTAGGTTGTTTAACTTATCCGTTGAATACAGCTTTCCTAAGCTGCGTAATAATCTGACAATGGAGGAGGTAAACTGAACAAATAAGATGCAAAGAACAGCCAAAGATGTTATAAATTTGCCACCTTCTTTTATGTCGTTTAATGCCACAAATTTAGGTCGGTAGAGATTATTACAATCCCAAATATAACAATGAATATGTGAAGATTAAATAACAAGTAGGGTGTTTGCAATTTTTTTAACGGTAATGTTTGTTAAATCAGGACCCGCCGCGTGGTCGGCGCTGTGCGTCGCTACGATCCGCGGCGACCGAAGGCCGCGACGATTCTGGCCGCAGCACCCCCTCCGCAGCCGCCCGGGCCTCCCCCTCGCCCGCAGATACGCCGGCACCGAAGAAGTCCAACTGGGAAGTCATCGAGCACTTCTCATCCAGTCGCAGCAAGAAGAGCCCGACTGCCGTAAGTACACTACAAATGCAATCAACTCTTCATACTATCTGCCTTTATCAAATGGTACACTATCATCATCGACTTTCAGCATATTTTTTTTATTTATTTCATATAACTTCTAGGCATGTGGTAGACAACATATTTAGTTTATGTGCCTATTACTCACACAAACATTAGTTTTCTATTGTTAAGTTCGACTGTAGATATGTAGATGTATAGTATAGATGCGCGCGGGGGGAGAAAGCTGCTCTTTGTTTTATATTTTCAAACAAATGGAATAAATAAAATGTGTGAAGTAATTATCGGGAAAACAATTTTCCAAACCGAGCTGCATTGCATCAGTTCAATGGACGACCAATTAAAATATCGACGACTGTTTTGTACCTTCAACTAACTAGCTCTAACGTTAATTGCTCAAAATATGAGAATATACATATGTTGACTATTTGGTTTTCAACATGTCTAAAAATAATAGTTGTTTGTGACAACATTTTGTGATGTTTATTTAACATAGAACTTAGGAATCGTTATAGCAATAACATATTTCTATTATAGTAGCGGTACTTAGCTTCTCTTGTAAACGTATTACAATGAATTTTAATTTGTATCGCGGTGAGTTTAGTTCAATTAATGTTATAGCAATATCGAACTTTTTAATTATAGGTAAGCCTGTGCACAGTAAAAGAACATCAAACGCGGGAGGTTGTAGATTTTCAAACAAATTTCTTTATTGTTTGAAGTAACAAAGCGGTCAGTAACAACAATAACGCGCCGGGAAACATAGCCATTTGCTGGATGTTGAACTTTGCTCCGGGCAGCCAGGCAGCCAGGCAGCCAGGCAGCCGGGCATCCAGGCAGCCTAAACCTAACAACTCCAACATTACCTATTATATTTCTAACATTGCTTAATTATTGTGTGAGATAAGAAGTAATTATTAAATTAACTTACTTGATTTTTATGGAACTAAATCTTTCTTTTCAAATCCAAATAGGTAATCATATTTGTTTGCCTTTTTTCAATCGAACTTTTTCTCGCTAATTCTCCAAGCACGATTTTTATAGGATTCTTGTTTCTAAGTCTAACTATGCCGGGAATTCGATAAAGTAAAATGAAAAAAAATCATTATATTAATATTACGTTAGATTTTATTTGTAATTTCAAAACTTGTATGCAAGACAAAGAGTACTTGTGCCTGAGGATATTTTAGATGAAACATAACTCACCGAAGCGAAGGAGAAAGAAGGAAAATAATTTTTGTTCATTGAATGTTCCGACCTACAATAATATTTGAAAAGTAGATGTGTTTTCGTTTTGATAAACGACTTGACTTAATAAACGTGAAACAATGTGGATACACGTTTATTCTTCGAAGTTTATATTTAATACAAGTTATAGCGGACAGAGCCGGTCAAAGTTATTTCTTAATTTTAGAACAATATAATTAGTTTATTTATGACAATTGTAAAAGTGATAAAAAAAACATGAATCACACATCATTATAATTTATTTGATAAAAGCGAACCAAACTCATAAATATAGATGGTTAAAAACATCTTATATGATTTCAAAAGATCTTCCCACATTGCGACAGGTCGTTATGTTGCTATAAAAATAGAAAAAGAATACCAATGAATTGTATAAAATACAATAAGATACAAATATAGAATTCTTTTGACACGACGAAGACGTTTATAGCTTTCGTATCATTATATTAACATGTGTCAACAAATTCAATCTAAAAATTGTCGTGAAACTACAGTGAATTGGCTATTTCTTGTCAATAAAAATACACAATACAAGGTATTCGAAATTTAAACTTTATAAATAGAACATACTGTTAAACAATGAATTTTTGTGTGAATTCGTAAAAACTCTTTGTACCAATCGCTTGGCAAATAAAGTTTCAGTCATAGGTTTGGATATTTCATACAAAGTCCATGTTCAAAATGACGTTCCATTTTCGGAGTCAGCGTGTAGTTAAAAAAAAGCGAAATTGTTATGAGATTGGACTACGCGTTGGGAATAGTTGAAGCTGTCATATGTTTCTGCAATGGCGAAAATACAGAGTTACAGTGAAATTTGACTAGCTGAAACATTTGTACTAAACATATTGTAGTCCTTTTTATTAAACGCGGCATTATATTTTATAAAATTAACAGAATACCACAACTAGAAAGTCCAGGTAGATAGATGGAGGGATCTAATTAAATTTTTTTAGTTAGATTTGCAGACGCAGTTCTCTTAATTATTGGTGATTACGTACACAATAATTTAATAACAAAGTAGAACTAAATTTCATCTTTTATTTATTATAACAGAAATTGTGCTGAAATTTAGCTCAACGTGAATCTATTTGCTTACCTTTAATATCCAGTCCTCGGGGCGAAAAATTGTTTTACATCTTATTTTCCTACCGATTCCAAACTAATTACGTTTTAAACTCGTTAGCAGTTCGTCACAAAAACGTTAAAAGTTGTCGACGGCGTCTTGCGACTTTTTAATTTTCAAACAACTTTGTACAGAAGAAAACCATTATGGTAAGTAAAAAACTTAAACGATTAAAATTTCCAATATTTCAAAACAAATATTACTGTTGATTTTGAATCGTTCGACTGCTGTTTATTTAAAAGTAACGCTGTGATATTTACTTACTGTACGACAAATCAGTTTAAAAAGAAACACAAATATTTAAATTTGAATAAGCCTAAAACTGTTGTACACGTTCCTTTCATTCGCACGTGAATTAATTAATTAAGGGTGGTCGTGTGGACGTAATGGCGGGACAATACAGGAAGGGTTATTGACTAGTTTCATCGATTTCAATGATGCAAATGTACAAAATGAAATATAAGCCTGCGTTGCCAACACAACCGGTACACATTTATGTTTTTTCTTTTCAAAATTTATATTAAAGCTCTCTATTAAAACAATAGTAATATCTAATTTTACAATATGCCAAATTGACATCAACTTATATGTTTAAGGCTTATATCATAAAAGGTGTTACTTGGACCAAGGGAGAAAGATCCACGTCGGGTATAAAGGCGCAAATAAAGCAACGATTAGAATTGAGCTTAACAGGCCTCTGCGGTCAGCGGCCGCCCTCGCTTGCCACTAAATCCCTCAGTTATCACTTCAAAGACCAGTCCGGCACAAGTTGGAACGATTTTAATCATAACAAAATTTTCATACCAGCTTGTACACCGTTGTGTTAGCTTCATTCACTAGAAGATTAGTGTTGGACTTTGTTTAGCCGAGGAAAACGGGATGAAAACACCATTATAGTATATTTTGTAATTTTAGACATTGTTAGGAATATAAAAATCATTATCAATTTGTTAGCTATATTATATTTTATTATATGACATTTTAACGTATTTAGATTATATTGAATTGAATACATGGATACACTGGACCTTATTATTAGAACTTTATACGTGCATATGCGTACTTTGTCGAAAGAACCTCTTTATTCTTTTCGTCCCTGTCCTCAATTTTTAATAATTAATTAAAATTTTAATTCGAAATAATAATTCAAGTATAATTGCGTCTAATGTGTATTAAACAAAAAGTCATTAATTTAATGCAAAGCTCATTTTTCCAATCAGATCGGGATGAAACATACAAGTAGAGTCGTAAATAAAAACACGAATTCACGTGGCGTATGTCATTATGAATTTCAATTTTCCGAGGATTACCTCCGCCAAGGTTTTTGTATTTATTCTCTACATTTCTTAAATACAACAACAACGTGTGTACTAAAATTGAATGATATTTTAAAAACCGTACATCAAAGAATGGTTATTATTTTTAATAACACACAAAAAGAAATTTGTATCATAATTAATTTACATTAGTGCTGAGATTTTCACTACAGGAGGTAATATTAAGATAATTACTACTTAACTAATTATATTAGATAATGGCACAATTTTGATATCACGCATCATCATCATCATCATCATCATCTTCAACATCGGCTTTTGTAGTTGTATCACACTATTTTTGTGTAAACCTTTGATTGTACATTACAAGGAATGTAAATTTTTATTAAGATTCAAGAAATTCCTAGAAAAAACAAAGTTTTACTTTCAAAGGGATAATTCTACTCCCAGATGCAGTTTAATGAAAACCCGACAGCTCTTTGTAGTTAAAGAAATTTATTCTGACGCGTTGGACCTAAATTTAATTAAGATTTCCACCTGCGCGTCTTTATTCCTTTACCTCTAAAACTTTATAGAGCAGAGACTAGATTCTATAATACAAGTTTTAGTTCTGTTTATAAATAACATATCTTAAGAGCTAGTTGTTACAGAGTTTTTAATTGGAAACAAGTTTAAAGAAACTTAAGTAATCTCAGATTAATTTGCTTGAAAAGGGAAAGAAATGATTTCACGAACGAATTATTAACAATGAACAGATGTCATACAAGTTTCTTGTTTGTCAACTATCACAATATCAAAGGAGAGGTTAGCGAACGTAGCCTTCGGCTCGTATTTAAACCTGGGATTACAAAGAAAGACAAAGTCGACGTTCATACCAATGTTTACAAATGCTTCAAAAAAACAACGGCATTCGATAGATCGCTTTCCTTTCACATTCTTTGTACAGTGTTTTGTTTTAATTATAATTTAAAAACATAAATAGCAGAGCGAGTCCGCTTTGTGGTATTTCCTTTTTATTCATGTTATGGAACTAAATATCAACAGTGGTGCACAGTCTCTCTGAGTCCTGGGACAAAAGTAACAACATGTACGTGTACATGATAAAGTGCCCAGAGCGGTGCGGGAGTTGAACACATTATGTTGTGTTGTTGTTAACACAGGTTAAGCATCGAGTTGTTTGTCGACTAGTTAACGAATACAAAGCTTGTTTAAATTTATAACATATCACTCTGCGAAATTGTGTTCAACGGATGCTTTTGTTTGATGAATGCAATTTTGTGGCCATGTTTTAAATGTTCCTTTTATTAACTTCTAGTTGAAATAGTTTAGATTGAATAATACAA